TACAGCTGCCTCATGGAGGACTAGCTGTTCACTTTTGTCTTTACATTTATTAATTTATTTTGTGTGGGGGAAGGCAGGCGTGGGTACACATGTGGGGTCAGAAGACATCCTGTCCTCCTTGGTTCTTCCCCTCTACATACGGATTCCAGGGATCGAACTCGAGCTGTCGGGCTTCACAGCGCGTGGCTTTACCCACTGAGCCATCTTACTGGCTCAGATTACAACCTTCAGAAGCATATATTTATTTTATGGGAAATCTACTAATACCTGAATTGCAGAATTTCTGGAACAACGTTATTTCTAGTGTCTTCTAGTCATCTTATGAACTCACAGACTGGATTTGTGTGGTTTACGACATTCAAGTTTGCTATTCTAGATAAACCTCCCCTCCAAGCACTTTTAGAATCTTGAACATTCATTGCACTCAGCCAGTTTTCACTGTCTCATTCTGGAAACTCCAGTTCAGAAGTGATTTGGTTTACATGCTTGATCATTGCTTTGTATATTTAGAAATAAAATTTGCAGCTAATAATCCCTCCTTTATCTATATTCCCTTATTAATAATGCCATCACCTACCTGGTCTCCCAAGAAATATGGGAATCACATTGACTTCCTTCTTCTCAGCCCTTCACACACACAATGCACTCACACACACATGTACACATACAGGCACACACAGTCATACACACATGCACGCATGTGTATGCACACATAAGTACACATACACAATACACAGACACATTCTCTCCCCCTACTTGGCCTTAGGTTTTGCTCCTTGTTTCTGATATTTTCTTTTTCTTTTTCTTTTCTTTCTTTCTTTTGTTTTGTTTTGTTTTTCGAGACAGGGTTTCTCTGTGTAACCTTGGCTGTCCTGGTACTCATTCTGAAGACCAGACTGGCCTCAAACTCACAGAGAACCACCTGTCTCTGCCTCCCAAGTGCTGGGGTTAAAGCTGTGCACCACCACTACCGGACTCTGATATTTTCTCATATATCTCTGCCTTCAAACAAAGAAACAAACTCTGAAAAGCCTTTTAAATGTCATCAGTAACAGTAACAAATAATATCTTTTTTTATTTCTCCATTTTACTAGCTACTGTCCCAAGGGTTTTGCAGAGATCCCCACCCCTCACCCCCAACTCAATCTGTAAGTACACAATTACCTTCCTTTTATTGTAGAAGAAACAGAGGAATAAGGAGGAAGTTACGTATGCAAAACCACAAAACTTAAACTAGGTGGAGCTGAAGTTTGGAGCTGTAACCTGACATCAGAGTTGGGTTCCTGACCCACCTTCAGTCATCTTCGATTTCACCCCAGCATATCGGACTCTTTTCTGTTCCTACACTCTCTTATGTATACATCTTTATTTTCCTATATTATATTTTTGTATGTGCTTACCAGTATTCCTGGAGGACTAAGAGAACTATATATTATTTATATTTATAAAAGTTGAGAGACCAATGAATCCACATTAGCATATCTCTAAATGAGCCTACATATGTCACTCTACTCCAATGCTTGCCAATATTTTGCAAAATTTGCTACAATTATTTCTTCCTTAGTTTATTTTCTGTCTTCCTGAAGTATCCTTCTTGTTGTTGTTGTTGTTGTTTTGAGACAGGGGCTCTCTATGTAATCTTGACTATCCTAGACCTTGCTGTGTAGACCAGGCTGGCCTCGAACTCAAAGAGAGATGCCTGCCTTTGCCTCTTGAGTTCTGGAATTAAAGATATGTGCCACCATGCCTGGCCTTCCTGAAGCATCTTAAAGCAAAATCCAAACATTCTGAGACGTTATCCATAAATACTTACTAGAGTATATTTTAAAGGGGTGTGTGTGTGTTACACATGTAAGTGCTCTGTATGTGCAGGGATGCTTGTGTGACAGGTCTTTTACCCATTTGAGCCATCTCCTCACCCCTAAAGGAGCTTTTAAAAATATAACCATAACCATATTACCATACCTAGCAAAACTAATACGAATTACTTTCCTCTTAATTGTGACTTTCTTTTGAGACAAGATCTTTCTGTATAACTCTGGCTGGCCTCAAACTTTTGATGATCCCTCTGCCTCAACCTACCAGAATGCTGGAACTACAGACTTGTACCACATGCCTGGCTTAATCATGAGTTTCTTGACGGTAGACATGCTTTTGATTTTGTCTTTTTTTTATTTTGTTTTGTTTTGTTTTGTTGGTTTTTTGAGATAGGGTTTCTCTGTATAGCCTTGGCAGTTCTGGAACTCACTCTCTAGACCAGGCTGGCATCAAACTCATAGACATCTGCCTGCCTCTGCCTCCCAAGTGCTGGGATTAAAGGTGTGCACCACCACTGACCAGCATGATTTCGTCTTTATGCTCTGAGTACCTAGCATAACCCTAGTCCATGCTAGAGTTTAGTGAATATTTGTTATGACTCCGAAGTTTGTTTTTAAGTTGTTTTAGAACCAGGTAACATTTTCCCCACAGAGACAATGTAGAAGTAACTATCAGGTTGGGTTAACTGACAACCTCTACTTAATCTACTGATTAGATTAAATAGCATCAAAGTTTAGGCCTGAGCCCTTTGGAGCCCCAAAGCCTAAACTGCTTTATCTTTAAATACTGAGTCTTAGGAAACCGGAGTCTAATTTAGTTGAGCCCTGAGTTTTCTTGTCCCCATTGTCAGTTGAGGTAGGACACAGCAAGATCTGCACTGGGTAGAAAGGCCATTGGTAAAGAAACAACAAAAATTCACTGTGGCGGACCAGCCCCCACAATTATTTACCCCAGGGACTCTTGAGGAATGAGAGATAAGAGACTTAGTTAGAAATAGAGGGCAGAGAAACAGAGAGAAAGGCAGGACAGACTCTAGTGGGCCTGGATCCTTATGCACTGGCCCAGAAATTTATTCCAAAGGTCTATTTATAACAATGCCAAGGGGTGGAGCAAAAGACCTCCCCTTGCTAATTAGACCCTTACAAACACCTGATACTCAGGCCCGTGGTCCAGTCAACCTCCCATGCAGTCCTGCTGGGTACAGCCGCAAGGAGACCTAGTGGGCTACAACAATTCACCCTGCTAGAAAAAATGTGCTAAGACACATTCTATCATTTCACAAAAGAAGTACATAGTGACCAAACATAAAGAAACAAATGCCCAACTTCTTTCCTCCAAGAATACAAGGATGGTGGTGAGATTATTTTGCCTACCAGATGGGCAATTGTTTAAAATGTTCGTAACAAGGGTTGGCCAGATATCTCAGCAGGTAAAAGCACTTGCCACTGAGCCTGGCAACCCAAGTTCTAGCTCAGGAACCCATGTGGTGAAAGGAGAGAGGTCAATCCCACATGCTGTCCTCTGCACATGCACACACTCACATAGGTACACATGTGTGTGTAAATATGTAAGTAAGTAAATATAATTTTTAAAAGACTCTATTTTTAAAATGTTAATAATACAGTGTTTGCCAGGGTAAAGGTAAAGATACTTATATGTCCAAAACACAATTTCATTTATCCACTGAGTACATTTCAATAATTAAATATGTGTGTGCACACATTCATTTTATAAGTTCTGCTTAGCTTCCTTCAAGTCTTTCCTGCCATTTCTGTCAATTTAATCATTTGTCCCTATATAAAATTTTATCCTTAGTTCTTCACATTTTCATTTCTAGCTAGTCTATATTCCGCAGCAGCGTCTGAACTGCCTCAGGAACTGCCGTTACTTAGACTAGGGATTTGACTTCAGACATCAGAGACCTCAGTAAACAAAAGAGACCTTTTTGGCAAAATTAGGTGGTTCCATACTAGTATGGAATGTGGGAACCCACAATCAACAGGGTTTCAAGCTCCCCTCTCTTTAAACACAGCTCCCAACATTTCACCGTCTCCCACCATCTTTCCTCTCCACAGTGAAGACAGGACACAGAGTAGAAACAGCCCTGCCCTTTGATAGCTGGCCTTACCATTTACACACATTGCTTCTGCTCATATTCACAGGATGAAAGGTCCCAAGACCACATCAATGTATAATGTGGTCTAGGACAGGTAATTATTAACCCTTGAAACTCCTGTTGCGGCTGATGGAGTATAAAATGGATGCTGGAGAGAAGTAGTGATACAAATCTCCATGTTTCCGCTGGTTATCCCTCACGGTGACTGGCCTTGGGTGCTTGATGATCCTTAATTATGAGCTTATGGTTTGGACTGGGTTTTTTTTGGGAGGGGGGCAGTTTTGGGACAAGGTTTCTCTGTGTAGTTTTGGTGCCCATTCTGGATCTCGCTCTATAGAGCAGGCTGGCCTCGCACTCACAGAGATCCATCTCCTCTGCCTCCCAAGTGGGGTTTGGACTGTTTTTGACAGGGCTCAAGAGGTTGTCTTCAGTTCAGCTCGCTCACCTCTGCTGGCCTAAGATTCTGAGTTTCAGTGATTCTCAAGATCTTTGCCCCTGGAGGGGACCCCACGTGCTCCCGGTTCTGACTTCAGTGCTGTGTTGTTGGGTTTGGGGTTTAGTTTGACTTCATGAACAAACTAATGTTTACTGACTTTGTAAGATCTCATCAATACATCTAAGGTAGGCTTTACTTAGAATCTAGTTGTTTCATAGAAAAAGGATCCTTCAAGGAATGTGGCCCAGATGTTACTAAACCAGTTACATTCCATTCACTTGTCTTCAGGTCTGGCTTTCAAGCTTGCCGAACTCACCAGTTAACTTTCTTATCAGGGAACTTAATGGACGCATCTCTGTCTTCACATTGACACAGCTGGCCATTTATTATTCTTAAACCTTAAGTGAGCCAAACAGCACCTTGAAGGCTGGGGATTGAAGAAAACAGACAAAAATCCCCAGTGAGGAAATGGGCAGCGAACAGTAAGCATAAACCATGTGTTTTGACTGTAAGTGCTGTGGATGAAAACTGGACAGGGCATGACAACTGCTCTGGGAGAAAGATTGCAGTTCAAAGAGGGGGCGGGGCGGGGCGCGGGGTGGAAGGCTGGGCGTCACAGGAAAGGTGACATGGAGCGATGCCTAGAGGAGGAAGAGACTACCCAGGGGACAAACATTCCAGATAGTGACTGTAATCATCTCAAGATCTAAAGGCAAGGCTGAACATGGAGGATCCATGAAGAGGAGGGGCACCTGGTGTGGCTGGAATGGAATGATGGGAGAATACATTAGGAGATGATGTGTGTAATCATATATGTCAGTACGTATGGAAGGGCGGAGTCAAGGGAGACTCTGGCCTGCCATCCAAGGAGCAATATATAATGGGACACAGGTAAAGCCACAGAACATGTGGTGATACATAGATTAATAGAAATGGGTTGAGTTAAGTTATAAGAGAGAGCTAGCAAGAAGCTTGAGTCATAGGCCACCCCGTGTGTAATTAATAATAAGCCTCTGAGTAATTTTATTCCTTTCTGAGCTTCATCAAAGATGATGTTACTGAATCAAAGCAACTCTCCATAAAGAAATGACAAATGTTTGAAGAGCCTTAAAATAAGAATAAAGATACCCGGGTGGCTGGGTGGTGGTGGTACACACTTTTAATCCTAGCACTAGGGTGGCAGAGGCACTATATTTTTTAAAAGATCTCTTAGGCCAGGCGGTGGTGGTGCACACCTTTGATCCCAGTGCTCCGGAGGCAGAAGTAGACGGATCTGAGTTCAAGGCCAGCCTGTTCTACAATGTGAGTTCTAAGACAGCAAGGGCTACACAGAGAAACCCTGTCTAATAAAACAAACAAGAACTTTTAGAATAAAGAAAGAAAAAAAAGACAGAATCGGAGACAGAAGGCAGGCAGAGGGATTGGACCACTTAGTATAGGTCAATGGTAAATTTAAAAGGAAATAGCGCCGGGCGGTGGTGGCGCATGCCTTTAATCCCAGCACTCGGGAGGCAGAGCCAGGCGGATCTCTGTCAGTTCGAGGCCAGCCTGGGCTACCAAGTGAGTTCCAGGAGAGGCGCAAAGCTACACAGAGAAACCCTGTCTCGAAAAACCAAAAAAAAAAAAAAAAAAAAAAGGAAATAGCAGAAAGTGGAACAGTTCTGGGAGATTTCAAAAAGGCCTAACTTTTGGATTATGGACATAGAAGAAGGAGAAAACACGATTGCAAAGGCATAGAGAATATCTCCAATAAAATAATAGAAGAACTTTGCCCAATCCTGTAGATACAAGAGACCTGTAGAACTCTGAATAGACCAGGACTAGAAAAGCAACTCCCCATGACATATATACTTAAAACATTAAAAACACAGAATAGCTGGATGGTGGTGGCGAATGCCTTTAATCCCAGCACTCTCAAGGCTAGCCTGGTCTACAAAGAGAGTTCCAAGACAGTCAGGACTACACAGAGAAACCATATCTCGGAAAACCTTAAAAACAAAACAAACAGACAAACAAAAAACCTAAATAAAGAGTATTAAAAGCTGCAAAGGAGCAAGGTCAAGTCACTTATAATGTGGAGCCCACCAGAGTAAGACTCAGTGACTATCTGACAGAAACTTTTAAGTGCAGAAGGGCCTGACAAGATGTATTCTAAGTTCTTAAAGACAACAACCCTGCAAAACTGTATACTAAAATTGAAGAAGAAATAAAATCATTGCACAATAAAAACACATTTTTTGAAAAATGATTTTGTTATGACCACTAAGCCATCTTTACAGAGGACACTAGAAGGAATACGCTGGTCCGACCACAAAGATAAACACATTAAAGATGTCACAGGGAGTATATAAATAATTCCAGAACATTTAATTAAAGGAGGTATAAGAAAACACCACAACAAAATGACAGGAATTAATATACATTGTTTGATAACAACACTTAACATTAATGGTCTCAATTCTCCAATAAAGAGATGTAGATTAGCAGATTGGATTATAAACAGGACTCATGTGGTGGTGAGGGCAAGGGAAAGACGCCCTCTCCGCCCCGCCCTTGCCCCTACTGCCTGTGGTGGGCAAGGGAGCATACCCATCCTTACCAACTTCAGCACTCGGGAAAGTGGGCCCTGCACCTCGCCTGGGCAGCATGATAGAGCCATATGGTGGTATGGGAGGGGGAGAGACACCCCACACCACCACACTCCCCCATCTCCCACCCCCACGCCCACCACTGCCTGTGGCAGGTGGGAGAGCTGGCCCTGAGGTCATAAGAGTGGAAGAGCTGTCCCTGTCCCTGCTCCTCACCAGCTGAAGCACTAGGAGAGAGGCCCCTGCACCTGCCTGGGCAACACAGTAGCGCTGGTCCTAATGGTGTAGGTGTGGGAGAGCCGACCCTGAGGGCGTGAAAGCAGGAGAACTGGCCCCGCCCCTTACCCTCATAGCAAGGGGTGTACAAGCCAGGGCAGTGCTGGAGAGCTTACCCTGGTGGTGAGGCTAGGGGAGAGCTGGCAGGCTGACCAAACTAGCAACTACCCAGGCTCAGAACCAGAGTTGACCTACCCCAGCATTCACCCCATCTATGATCTGCTGGAAGCACGTGAAGGGGCCGGTCGTGCAGATCCAAAGCTTCAGGATCTCCATGACTCAGGGCAACAACAGGACACACAAGAGGAGTGCCATGGAGGGCCCAGCATCCAGAGTGGAGCAGAAACCAGAGGTCTTGAACCAGAACAGTGACTCTTTGCAATGAACACTTGCAAGTAAAGATATATGAATTAAAAAGAAAAAGAAAAGGAAATACCACACCTTTAATCCCAGCACTTCGGAAGCAGAGGCAGGCAAATCTCTGTTTTTAAAATAATAATAATAATAATAATAATAATTGTTTTAATGTGCATTGGTGTTTTGCATGCATGTATGTCTGTGTGAGGTTGTCAGATCCCCCAGGAACTGGAGTTACAGTTGTTAGCTGTCATGTGGGTTCTGGGAATTGAACCTGGGTCCTCTGGAAGAGCAACCAGTACTCTCAATCACCTCCAGCCTGAGATCTCTGTAAATCTGAGGCCAGCCTAGTCTACAAAGTGAGTTCCAGGACAGCCAGGGCTGTTACACAGAGAAACCCTGTCTTGAAAAACAAAAAAGAAAATATCAGACCAGTTAGCATTTGACTGAGCTTTTCTGGACTCAACTGACTTGACTATAGCCTGTAAGAAGAGTTAGAGTCTGATCCACACGTCCATTCTAGAGCTTAGGCTGAAGGGCAGTAGCTACCCTGGGGATGATGTCACAGTGTTATCAGGAAAGCAAACCAATCATACTAACAGGTTTTGAGCCTTTGTTCACATTCTTTCCACTAGTCAAAGCAAGTGACACAGACAAGCCTTAAGTCAAGAGGTGGGACATGCACTGTGTCCCCCACCTTTAATCCCAGTGTTCAGCAGGCAGAGGGAGGCAGATTCAATTCAAGGCCAACCTGGCCTGTAGAGCTGGTTCCATAACTATATAATAAGACCCTGTCTCAAAAAAGAAAAGAAAAAGAAAAAAGGGTATAGTTAACTATGTTCTTTGAAATAACTGTGTTAAGGAAAGAAATTATTCTCTGTAGCATATGAACTTCATGTAAGCTTGTATCTTTCTCATTTTAAAGAAAGAATGAAAGAAAGGAATTAGCCCATTAATTATTTAAAATACGTGGTGCAACTGTTCCTATGAATTAATCCAAGGCACTTGGAAGACAATTACACTCTGTGTTAATAACATTGCCAGGCTTTTCCAGTATGCTGCCCTCCAAAGAGTACTGTGATTTTGTTGACAACGTTCACTATTACATATGCATATGGAAAACAGGCATTTTCATCAGAATTACCGTAATAGCATTAAGAGATTATTACTTTTTCCAGTTTCCTTGGAAGAACATTCACTAAATCAGATTATTGTTTACTTGACTGCTCTTCTCTCTGTCCTGTACATTTAGGTAACTAGAATCCTGGAAAATATAAACTTCAGGATAAAAACATGATTTTATACATTAATGATCTCAAATAAAAGAGGAGTGCTACCTTCGTGCATCACTTCTTTCAACAAAGTTAAGTCTGTGTTCTGCTTAGGAGAGATAACACTTTTTGTCCCTGTAGGTGGCCCCCTGGTGTAGCCATTAGTTGCTAATTACTTGCAAACAAATAAACAATTAACTCCTTAAGCTGCTGGCTAGGCAAGTGTTCATTGACTTGCTAAAACTTTCTAAAACAGGATTTTAATTAGTGACGTTCAAAACCCAGCCCCCTAGTCAACAAAGCTATAAGGTGAAGTGCTGGAAGGTCCCAGCTCTGCACACGTGGGGCAGGAGCCCTCCAGCTCTGTACCACACAGAGGAGGATGTCGCCCAGCCTTCGGGAAGGTGCTCAGCTCCAGAAAAGCAAACCCTCATCCTGCTCCTTCTCAATTGAGAGCATTTTAGGACTGGACCAGAAAAAAGACTGTGGACCGTCAACAAGACCCCACAGACCGTGGACAGACACCTGCAGCGACTCAGGTATGTCACAACTTAATTTTTAAACTCATTTGCCTTTTTAGCTTGCCCTTTATTTCACACAGTATAGAGTTAGAAACTATGATTTCATTCTGTTCCATAAACGCAAAAGGCCCCTAACAGGATCATAAGGGAGTAGAATGCCTGCTGGAAACAGACGTTATTCAGCCACAGAAAGAACTAACATTTACTTCAGAAGACCCTCTGTATATGTTTGACACATCAGGCATTCTAAATCTCTTTTCAGTGAGAAGTAAATGGTAGAGTCCAAAATGTTCTCTCACCAAGGCAGAATTTCTTTTCTCTTCTATCCTTCCTTCCTTTCTGAAGAATTCTCTAGGAAATTTCAAAATAAGTTACTGAAATGACTTTTTCCTGAATTTGTGGAACACAGACAATCTAAGATGGAGTTTATTCTTCTGATTTTAGAGAAATACAGCAACTCGTGCCTACGTGCCCCAGATCTTCCCAGTGAGATCTCATTTCCTTGTCCCGTGGATCACCCAATGCCAGAAGAAGGGGCTTTGAAATATGAAAATTATTTTTCAGCCTCAGAAACACTCTCTTTGAAAAGAGAGTTGAGCTGGTACAGAGGACGAAGACCAAGAACTGCTTTTACCCAAAATCAGGTGGGAAGATTTTTCACCCAATAGCGATAACACAAAGGCTGTAACTGATGTCCCGGTGAACAAAAGCTGTTCACTTTGGGATCAGTGTAGAAGTATCATTAATGAAACAATGGACTCATATTTTAACAGTCTCTGGGTAATCGTTTTTTTTTTTAATGCATTTAGGTTAACTGTCCAAATTTAAGTGCATTTTTTTTTTTTTACTGCACAAAAGGAAGCCCAATTTTGGTGACATATGGAGTGTTATCACATTAAAGAATTCTTTCCTTATTCTAGGTTGAAGTATTGGAAAATGTCTTCAGAGTGAACTGCTATCCTGGAATTGACATCAGAGAAGACTTAGCTCAAAAGCTAAATCTAGAGGAAGACAGAATCCAGGTAATTTTCAAGCACGGTTGTTACTTGTGATGATAATACAGCAATGTGTCTGAGAACTATTTTATTTTCCCTTGATTTTAGATTTGGTTCCAAAATCGTCGGGCAAAGCTGAAAAGGGCCCGTAGAGAATCACAGTTTCTAATGGCAAAAAAACCCTTCAACACAGATCTTCTGAAATAGTTTTTAAAAGTACACATGTGAGATTCTCTTCCAATTGCGGAACACAAGGAATCAATGGAAATCCCAAGTATCTAAAATGTTACCGTCTCTTTCCTGTACCTAATGAATATTGTCATGCTTTCTGAGAATATTGCAAATAATTATGATTCTAGCATAGTACATATTATATCTGGACATTTTTAGTTATAATAAATAAAACCTTTCCTATATATTTTAATAAAATTTTTTAAGAAATAATAGCTATTTTAATATACTTTATTCTTTGAGAATTTCATAGATGTACGTAGTATATTTTAGTCATATTCATCCCTTCTCCTCCTCATAACACTTCTCAGATGCATCCCATTCTCCCCCCTCCCTCCCAACTTCAACAAACTATTTTCAAGTGAGTAAAGTTAATGTAATAAATTAGTATGTGAACTAAAATCACTATGTTCATGCATAACTAAGTGATTCCCACAGGCTGGATGCAACTTACAAAATATTTCAAAGATATAATAATTAAAAAAAGAAGGGTCCAATTCATTTCAATTAGTTTCTTTCAGGTATATTTTGAAACACAATTTTACACGTCTGCGTTATATAGAGTGAGTCATTTGTGAATCTTCTGTTGATTTCTGGCCATGTGTTCAAACAAATCCTTACAGCACACCAATTTCAAGTTATTTTTTTAAGTCATCATGGCAGAGTACAAATATAAGACCATCAGTTCTCATATCCTCATTATCGCATTGTACTGGCAAAAAGAATTAAACGGCAGGACTGGTGAGACAGTTTAGAAGGTAAAGGTGCTTGCTGCCAGGCCTGGGGACTTAAGCTCCATCAGTCCCCCAGATCCCATGTGGTAGAAAGAGAAAATCAACACTGGAAAGCAGTTCACTGATCTCCACATGTGCATCATGAACCTGCACACACACACACACACACACACACACACACACACACACACACCATACCGCACACACACACCACACACACACACACACCACACACACACTACACACACACACACACCACACACCTCATACACCACACACACACCACACACACACACCACACACCACACACCACACACACACACATACACATACCACACACTACACACACACCACACACACACACACATACACACACCACACACCACACACACACACACACACCACACACCACACACACTACACACACACCACACACACTACACACACACCACACACACACACACACACACCAAACACCACACACACATACAACACACACACACACCACACACCTCAACACACACACACACAACACACACACAACACACCACATACACACACACCACACACACATCACACACACACACACCACACTACACACACACACACCACACACCACATACACCACACACACACACACCACATACACCACACACACACACACCACATACACCACACACACACACACATACACACACACACAGCACACACTCACATAGGCACACCTGCGTACACCACGAATAAACAAGTGTAACTTTGACATTTTAAAAATGAGTAAATTTGCAAATAAATGCAAATGTTCGAGTAACTTTCAGGTACATTTGCTCTGCTCTCCTTTTGTTGCAAGTGATAGTGATCATCTGGTTGTTTCAGTTTCCAATTTAATGACTCCAATCAGCTGCATGCTTCAGTACTATGCTATGTTGACTGGCTTTTTGTATGTGCTCTGGCACCACTACTGGAAATAATCGGGGCACTTTCTATGGGCAAACTAGGCCTGCCACCTGAAGACGGATTGAGGAGATCTGTGGCAGCAAGGGAGTCCTTTCCTCTGTTTAAAAACAAACAAACAAACAAAAACCTAGGTGTTTGTTTCCCAGTTAATGAAAAAACCTAGGTGGGTAAGTTTTTGTTTAGCTTTGACGTGTTAGTTTGAACACTCTGATTCCGTCCAACGGCAGCCAGATTCCAGTTTTTTCCACCTGAGTTGAATTTTCCCTTCTCTTTCCTATCTCTCCTAACCCTCTGTCCACCCTGTTTCCCTGTGAACACCAGAGTATAGGCTCTTACTGAACCTATCAAATCCATCACCACTACAGGTTCTTTTTTTTCCTGGGGTATTTATTTATTTATTTATTTATTGAAAGACAGCTTGCCATTATTTCTGAGCTGGACTCGGAACTTTGTAGAATAATTTACTGACAGCACATTTGGGGCAGAGAGCTGTTTCCCAACAATCGGACAGCAATAACCTGCTGATTCTCTTCCACTGTTTCCAAGAAGAGAAGGAGGAGAAAAAGAAGGTGAGCAGGGCTGTCTGTCACTGGGAAGGCCTGAGTGTTAGAGGGCTTCTGAGGAGGACGGGGTCACTCCTACCAGCATAAGGATGCCGCCATTATTCAAGAGTTGGAGCAGTCCTTGGGAAGTCAATCAGCAAACACTTCCCCACGAGCAGCTTCCTCTGCTCTCCACTGGGCTCCCATGAAAATGTTGAGTTCGCTGGTTGGAAGCTGGTAAGAGCAGGTGGAGGGGACAGTGTGTCGTGTCATATGAAGAAGCTTATTTTATAATAATACTGCCCAAGTAGAAGCCACCTCAAGTCTTACCCTTCGGAGAGAATCACCATTAAATATTTTCTAAATCTCATATATTATTAAAAACTTGTTGGCATTCTGTTGGTTGTGCTGTTGTTTATTCGATATCATAATGTGCAGTATCTTGCTATGTTGGAGTCACTGTTCTTTCTCAAGTCTTGAACAGAAAAAGAAACTACAATATTAAATTTTGAGCATTTTTGAAGTAGTGTTTTTCACAAATTTTGGTTTCAAACAAAAACCACAGTTTGTCTGTAATTAAACCAAGCTCATAAAGAGGATGAGGAGCCTGTAAAAAAAAAAAAATCCCACAATCTAAAAGAAAATGAAATAGCATCACAAACATTGATCAACAACTAACCATCTTTAAAAAGGAAGTGTGAAAGCTGGCTATTCTAAAAGTCTGATGAGGAAGGAAGCTGTGACTTGGCGATGTCCTCTTCTCTGCATTTCCCAGCACAACCTTATATGATTGACTCCTGGGTCCCAAAACTCTGCTTAGCTTACAACTAAAAGAAGTTATGTATAACTGGTGGTACTGTGTTTTCATAACTGAAATAACAATGCAGTAGCACAAATTACAAATGATGTAATGAAGCCGGGCGGTGGTGGCGCACGCCTTTAATCCCAGCACTCGGGAGGCAGAGCCAGGCGGATCTCTGTGAGTTCGAGGCCAGCCTGGGCTACCAAGTGAGTTCCAGGAGAGGCGCAAAGCTACACAGAGAAACCCTGTCTCGGAAAAAAAAAAAAAAAAACAAATGATGTAATGAGCACTGGGCTGAGTAGTAGAGCACTCACCTAGCCTGCATAAAAGCCAAACTCCAGTTCAAACTCCAGCGCCACAGAAAAGGGGTTACAATTGTAACTGAAATAATATTTAGATGTTAGAAAAAATAGGATAGTTTATATTGTTGAAAATAACTATAAATGTGATGTATAGCCTTTTTTTTTTTTATTTATTAAATTTTTAAAATTTATTTTACATACCAACCACAGTTTCTCCTGCCTCCTCACCTCCAGGTCCCTTCCCCCATCTCCCTTCTGCCCCCGCCCCCAATCCACTCCTCTTCTGTCTCCATTCAGAAAGGGTAAGGCCTCCCATGGGAGTCAACAAAGCGTGGTATATCAAGTTGAGGCAGGACCAAGCTAGCCATTTATCTTTAAATATTAATTACAATATCAGTTCTATTGTGATTCTTGTGAGACAAACACATATTATATAAGAATATTCAAGAAGCAGGATAATACACAAGATCGCCACTGTATTTCCCTTAAAATCATTCTCAAAAACCTGAAAGGTAATGGCTGATCTCGTTAGAAGAAATAGTGACTCAGTTAATGGGATTTAATGGAAATAAAATTGCTAAAATTTGTAAAGAATATAATGACATTCAGGGGGAAACTGGAAGTTAACTCTGAGAGGGGAGAAAACAAGCAAAGGTAGGGTAAAATTCTTTCCCTTGAGCTCTCGCTGTAACCCACAGCTTATCTCTGCTGCTGCTAATTCCAGGCCTTTGTCTCCATTAATACCCAGGACAAGGTGAACAGTAGCTGCAAATCAACTAATGCAGTCAGGCTAATACCTGCAGAGTCTCTATTATCTGACGTCCATCCACCCAAACGAAGTTATTCGGTCTCCTGTAATGGCATTTGTCTCTCCTAAAGCCAGCTAGACAAAGCCCATCGGTAAAGAGTTCTGGCGGGGACAATGGTCGTGTGTGCTGGTGGTCAGCTCTGGAGTTAATCAGTGCTAATAGGAGCTTTCTCCACTTGCATCTTATCACACAGCACACAAATAGCATAACCCTCCCACTACCCAGTCGGGCACACAGCACCGCCAGGGACTCGGAAACAGAGAGAGCGAGCTAGTCTCTTTACGTGACGTGAAACCCAAGTCGCTGAGATAATCAGTGACTTGCTGACTATGCTAGCCCAACGGGCACCAACACTCTACTGCCTTCGGCTTCACTTAGTGCTCACTGTCTGTCTCTCGGTGCACCCCCACAGGGCGGCGGAGGCAACTCCTGGTGACTCTCCCTGAGACTCCCAGCCCTGGGAGGGCCACCCCTTGCCTTTTTCCTCCCTTATTTTCCCATGCTCACCCTTCAGTGCTAATTGGCCTTGGCAGGCACGGTGGTATCAACAAGCTTTATTGAATGAGCCCCACAAATGAACCCTCACAAAAGAACTCCGGAAACGAAAAGGTTCATCGCTATCGTCCGTTGTAAAATCGCCAACGTTTAGGAACCAAATCACCTACTTCTGTGCTCTTGTCTCAGAGGATGGCTGGCACGGCCATCTGCTCTAACGGACATTTGTGACAAGGTAACTTCAGTAAATTAAGTGACGACGATGTAGGTTTTGTCCTGCTGGCGTCCTGTTTGCTCCATCAGAAACGAACAAACAGGGACTGGAGGGGTAGCTGGGCTGGTAAAGTAGATGCTGCCGCAAACATCAGGATCAACACAGAGGCACTTGTCTGTGACCCCATTGCTAGCTGGGGTTTGGGGTCGGGGCTGAAACAGGCTCCCTGGCCAGGCCGACTAGCTGAATTGGTAAATTCCGGGTTCACTGAGAAAACCAGTTTCAGAACCAAGGCGAAAGCATCTTACATAGTGAGTT